TGGCCAGTGATTCGATCATCATATTTTTGGTATCCGGATCGGGATTTTCTCCGATGGACGCACGGCAGCTAACGGTTAGCAGGATCCGGATCCTACTAACCGTTAGCAGCCGTGTGAGAACATAGCCTACGTATAAAAGCAATATGCTTGTCAGACAAACCCATGGTGCCAAGCTTCCCTCAGGTCGCAGCAGTCTCATTATGAATAGAATTAACCCTGCGGCGCATGTATCTCAGAATGACGTCAAGCCTTTTCAGATTACTTGTAGTCTGAGCCCTAAAACTCGTTAATAAGAAAGGAACACTGTGGTGTTTTTTTCCACATTCGTAGCATTACATCACCTCTAAGATTTATTTAGAATTTTGAAATAAAACTGATTATATACTTATATATATATTTTCTATTAATTTAATTTGCAGACAGTTTACAAGCAGAAATTAAAGCGAAGGAATTAGTAGATGTTGTGAATGGCTTATGCGACAATAGTAATGAAGTGATTAAGGGTAAAGCAATGAGTGTAAGTCAGCACTTCCGCTGAAGCGATCATCATGCCACCGTTTAACGATTCATGTCAAGTTTTCGCGAAACCACACTCTGAAGATCCTGAAGGTTTTTGCATGTTGCACTGAAGAATAAGGAATTGTGAAGCAAGATGTAGAAAGAGAAAATGGTCCTTCCAATTTTTTTGCAATACTTTGCCAGATTTTGTAATATTTGTACCATATTGAATTTGTTGATATTTTGTACAGTTATAATTACAACTCAATTTTAGTTTGTACTACCGTGAATATAGAAAAACCATTGTTGTATTCAATTAGCCATTTGAAATTCTTTGCAAGACCCCCAAAAACTTTCTTTAGAAGTCTCTTTCACTTTGATTAGAACCCCAGAGTACCAAATTCTGCTTGGAAGCAAAAACAAAACCTTTCAGTTTGTTGTTTCCATTTTAATTGAGTAGAAATAAAACTTTGCAAAATGTTTAAGGATGATAATCTAATTATAATAATTTTATGGGGCTTAAACATGGGATCGTGTCAATGTACAGAGGCCTTTGTAGAAATTGTGTTTTAAATAATATTTTATTACTACTGTAAATGGAGTGTAAAGTAGGCATTACATTGTTAGAGATTGATAGGAACTGTTTGGTGTTTCTTAAATCATTTTTTTTTTTCGTCAGCATAATTGCCAACTCTTCATTTTTATGGTTGCAATAATGCAAGTATTTCACTAAATGTTCAGATTTTCCAGATGGGGATGGAGATGTTGGCAACTATGGTGTAGGCAGTGGTAGTGAACATTCCCTCCTGTATGTATACAGTCATCATTGTCTTATTCATTTGAACGTTATTCTGTCCGGTTCACCATTAAGTATATTATATCTCATTTGTGTAATCACAGAATTATTTAGTATTCATTTAATTAAAATATTTAGTCTTTTAAGCTTTTTGTCCACGATGTCCTCAAAAGTTTAAATACATGTATTTGAAATTAAAATTATTATGCAAGGTTTTTAAATTTTAATAGGCATTTAAACACATTTTTTATCGTCTGTCACGTAGCAGAGAAAACCTAAAATTTGTTTTTGAATAACCCTTGACAATGGCCAGAATTGGAAAACAAACACTTCTTTCAACTCGTGTAGATAACTTTAGAAAATTATTACACTATCCCAGAATAAAACGAAGTAAAGCGAGTTCAAACATCAGTCTTGTATGATTGAATGTGTCTAAGATGCATTTTTTAATTAAGTTGTATAATCATTTAGTAAATGTGCTTTTATATAAGTTTGTAATACCTAATTGTTTTTTGGACTTTATATCCAATAATTATCCTTTAAACAGTAGCCAGTACAGAATATGTTTCCTTTTGTTATAGACTATATGTTGTGCAATTTATCCCAGTTTTGTTGTATTGTTTTATATATTATGTATTTTTTTTCATTGCCATTATGTACATCAATAAAACAAGAAAAGAATTTAATTAATATTTTGGTGTTCGTTTTAAAGTTGCAGTACTTGAGTAAAGATTCAAATGATGGATCTATGGTGAATGTAAAAAAAAAAACCATCTTTGCTCTCTATTAGCACTTGACATGACTCCGTCTTACGATTGTTATTAGGGAGCTTTCGATTGCACGACGACGGTAGGATGTAAATGACATCACTAAAAGTCATCTGCGCATGCAAGAACGTTAATGTCACCTCGTCGAGTAGATTCTGGAGCGCAATTTGGCCAAATCTATGCAGAGAACGTAGGTCGGTCACGCATGAGTGATCCCGTCCTAGCGTCGCGTCGGGGTAGACTGAGTGGATTGTCGTTAAAATGATGACCATCGCAGCTTAACAGTGTGAAGATCTCTCCTGAAAGACTGCAAGGACCTTATCTAGGCTGTAATTATTTCCATCAGGATCATAGCTTCACTGGTCAGTGCTAGACAGGGGTATATTGGCCTTGACTAAGTATGCAAATTCAGGAAAGATATAAGAAATGAAGAAGCTTTGGGAACTTCATAGACGTTTTATCACAGCTGGTTATATCGAATTCCTGCATTCGCCACTGAGTATATTTAGTAAATAACAACACATGTTGTTATTTACTAAATATGTTTTTTCAGGTGTGTCTATAAGAAGTTATTTAACATTTTCAATGCACGTCACTAAAAGTATGCATAAAAATGTATTTTAAATTCACAATTCAATGAATACAAATTGGCTAATAAAAATTCTAAGAAAACATTTTAAAAATTCAATTTCTTAATGGTGGGTAAAATTTATTCAAACCATTATTAAAGGTGGATAGGTTTGCAAAAAGAAAAGTATAAAAAGTCTTGCCTAAACTTACTACATGTACTTTAGCTTTAATAATAATAATTTAATATCTATGTATATGAAAGCTAATATTGTATAGTTATAACTATAAAAACAAAAACATTACATACTAACCTTTACCAATTACAACAAAATTTAACATAAATCATACAAAAATCACTCAATACACTAATTAAAGCCAAAATTCTTTACAGTTACAGTCTGTACATTTTAGGAAGGTCATAGAAAGATCATTTGAATATTTTCCAAGACATTGGAAGTCCTGGAAAATGATTTGGCTATGGGAATGTTATGGAAATACTTTACAAGATGATAAATGAAGTATGCAACTTTTGGCTCTGTTTCATGGTTTCACCATCGTTCGACTTGCTTTAAATTATTAAATTTTTATTATTTTCTCTGAAAGTTCGATTGGGAAAAGTTATGGAAATGTTTGCAACACACGAAGTGTACAGCCTGTTGGTTAATACTGATGATAAACATCTAACTATACAACACACAGAATACAAAGCCTTGAGGAAACCCAGACAAAAAGTAGCCCGAAACTTTAATACTGTATTATATTTACCCTTTTTCTATCAATAATATTCAGCCAATTCTGTCTCCAAATTTTGAAATTTCTCGCTTCTTGGAAAGAAATACAAAATAATCGCTGATTTAGTGTTGTGTTATAATAATAACATCTTCATGTTAGAATATTTCAAACCTTAAATGATCTATCTGCAAAATCAGCTGCAGAAACGATTTTACGTCCCATTAAAAAGTTCTTGAGATTCTGTATCTTCTGGTATGTGCTGAGTCGCCTTACATTGTTGTTAAGTAAATGTAGGTGGTAAAAATTTGTCAGGCCATTGGCGATCATACGGAGTTGGTAACTAAGAAGACAGACTCCCCAGACGATGGATGCAGCATTTAGCCCAGCTAGCACAATAAACCAGGATTGCTCCATGATTAGGGTTGTGATCAGAGGAATAGCATCCGGAAGGGGATCATATAATACAAGTATGTACTCGATTCCGTAGCCAATAAACAAAAACTGTGCAAGGACTACCAATGCGACTAACATTATGAAGAATCGGTGGTTGCTTTTCGCAATGCATGTAAGAAGAAATAAGCAGTGATGATCCAGACCGTAATAGCACTTGTCACACAGTCTACAGTGCTTAACATTTAAAGGTTTTATAATCTAAAAGATAGAAAAAAGTTAATTATAATATGTGGAATAACCATCTTAACATAAATGATATGATTATTAGACAATTTTAGGTTTATGCAAAGTATTACTGTTTTTACTTAATAAAATCAATAAGATATAAGGGAAAGATGAGTATAAAAGAAAAGAAATGAAAAGGCAAGAAACTGGAAGATATAGAAGGAAAAAGACTTCTCACCTCGCATACAGAACAGAAATCATCGCTTTTGCAAACTCCCCTTGCAATGTGTTCAACTGTCATGTACGGCTCGCTGAGAGAGGGGCCAGGCCTCGATGACCGACAAACACTGGGATCGCTTATCAGCACAAAAACATAGAGATACAGCATGACAGCTAATGCAGGGATATTAAAACACAATGCATAAAAGTGTGGCCAGAGAAGTGAAAACTTTGTTAAGGAAAAAGATGTTAAAATGATCATCATTCAAGATTCAAGAAATTTTATTTGTCCATATAAAAATACAGAAAATTGTATTGCTTGGCAGATGACAAAAATATAAATAGAATACATACACTGACAAAGTTTAACAACAAGGTTCATAAAGAGACATACAATTGACAATGAATAATAAAAAGTTAAAACCTAATGTCTTAAAACAGTATATACAACAGTTAAAACACTAAAGATAACATTATTTAGAACCTGAATTGCAACGGACCATTGTTAAAAATAGAATTAAAATAGCTGAAACCTTAATAAAATGTCTTAAAATTATTAAAAACATTATGAAATTAAAAAACATTAAAAGATATTTAGAACAGTAAAACTTCCAGTATTGCAGCAGACTATCGCTTAGCATTAGAATTAAACATATGAATACTATTTACAACAAATGAATTCCTAGTCCTACATAGAGTTGCTTTTGGGGGGCGTAGCCTAATGCCAGATTTATTTAAATCAATGGCACATTACAATGGCACAATATATTTGTCTCCAACACCAAAAAGAGACACAACCTCGTCTTGAATTTCTGAAATGTATGTGTTAACCTACTCATTCCACCTAAAAACATCCCAACTTATTTTATGTCGAATAGATTGTGTCCTGTCTAACACACAAACTACATGTCTGGAGATATTGATGTAGATTAGAGATAAAAATGCATATTCCAAAGGATATCTGGAAGAATGAGGAACACGTAACAGATTATTGTATGGAGTATCCCGGCAGCGAATGCTCCAGCATGTATTGGGTTTGGCCATCTGAAAAACAAATGAAATTTAACATGAAACTATTCAATAAAACCACAGTGGTGGATCTACTGTAGGAATACAAAACAATGGGTGCCAGGGAGGGAAATTCACATATAGGGTTCCACCCATCTCAGCCCTAACATGGTTGGAGCTGAGGAAAGAAAATTTATGATTATGACACCTCTAGAGGACTGGAAATGGCACTCTGAAACTTAAATTTGATTATAAATTTATTTTTTTTCTGATTTGTTCTATAATTTAAGGGGGACCCAAGCCAACTCAAACCCCAACCTTGAATCCACCACTGAACCATGCCTGATTTTAAAAAATGTCATTATAATCATTATCATCATCATTATCATCATCTTCCTCACATCATCATCAACATTTAATTTAAAGTGATATTCTACATACCTACATATATGGTTCATTCGATGAATTTTTGAGCTCACAAATACACTTAGAAACACTGTTGCTACAATACTGAAGAAACCTTTATATGGTCCAGCATAATGTCCAAAGAGTAAAATACACGACATTGCAACAAATGGCAAGAACAGCAGGAAATACCAAGTGAAAAGGGGGCCTCTGGGGGGCATATGCTGCAGTTTGCTTTTACTCCAGTATGAAAGTTCCTTTACTAATGCTCTGTGTCTATGAGGATAAAAACAAAAAAGTTGTTATGTTACATTCAATGTAAGCATGATGGGAAAATATTACAAATTGAGGATGCCAACATGTTTATACTGTTGTATATTTTTACAACTTGTTGTTGAAGTTTTCTATTTCTGTTGGTTGTATAAAAAAAAACTAAGCACTTCTAGTTCTACAGCCTGATAATGTTTCTTATTCTTAATTAACATTGATATTAACAGTGGATATCTATGCAGATGCTTTTCTAGGGGGCAGGGGTGCATGGCCTCACAAAAGTTTGGATCTCTTCTGCACCCACACTAAAAACATTACAGCTAGCAAAAAATATATTCAAGTAGTGAAAAATCACTCAAAACCACCCCCCACCCAACATCAACTTGTAACACCCCCACCACCACCTTCACATGCCAATACTCTCTATATACCACTATCTGCATCAATAATGAAAGAATGATTTTTTTCTCCTCAAAATTTGCCACAATTATTGACACAAATTAACTTACACACTACCACCCATTGCTGCATGATGCAGAGTGTTGCGATTGTTCTGATCGAATTGTCGCACATCACCGCCATGTTCGGTCATTGCATGAATATTCAGAAGGTTACCATTTTTGCATGCATAATGTAATGCAGTCTCACTATAATCATTTACAGCATGCACATCTGCACCATATTTTAATAACAATTCTGTAACCTTTGGGTCGCCTCGAAGTCCTGCCTTGTGAAGAGGTGTCAGTCCATGCCAACCTAAAGAAAGTGAAGAGTATTTTTCTAAAGAATTCATTTTAATAAATGTTCACAGTGAGTTGCTATTTTAAATACTGATAATAGTTAATACTATTTCTTCTGGAAAAGCCAAAAAAAAATTGTTTCTCATACTATAAAGTTAAGTAAGAAAAATGTCATTAAAGATGTATTAAGCATGGAGGTATGAAATTACCTCCATGTACTAAAGTCTGTTCATATTTTATTGCTACATTTGTACAATTAAGTAAATTACACAATAACTATAAAATAATAGTATTAATTATATATTAAAAATTTGAATGAAAAAAAAATCCTGTCAATATAACAACCAGTTAAATAATTCTTTTCCTGTATTCTTTTGCATAGACCTTTTGTCTTTGAATTGACTGACAAATAATTGAAAGATTTGTATTAAAAAATGTCTGTAAATCATCAAAAAGTAATTTCTGTCTCAGTCTGAATCTGTGTCTAGGCCTAGGTTGGAAGTAACATTTTTATCTTTTTGAATGAGCTATTCAAAATTGTACTAGTAATTATTGACCTTATTCTTTTTTGGCAGACAGTATATCTTTGATAACTTGATGTATATAATAAATGCAAATTAAAAAAGCACTGTGTAGGCAAGTTGACTGGTGGTGTGGTAGTATGAACCCTGTAGTAGTAGCAGGAGGCCAAAAAAGTGTAACCAAGTAGTACTAATTACTAAGTACTAACTAAAGTACCTGACAGTAAGAGGGGAGGGGCCTTACCTTTTTGGTTTACTCCTTCTGGGTTCCTCTTGATAATTTCTTCAATATCGACTACAGAAACAAAATTTTGAACAACGTCTAATAAATGTGTTACTGCCTTTTGACCTGGAATACCCATGACAGATTAACAACTCTACAAACATGTAAATATTTGGCTAGGCCGTTGTGGGTTGGCCGCCTGTGCTCAATGAGCTTATCAACCAGCAAGCCATGAGCAGTCCCCGCACTCGGCCAATATTGACATCTAGCCTCCTTTGCACTATGCGCTATAGACTTTCATCGACGAAGAGAACAGAAAGCCTAATAATTCGCATACACAACGTTGGTGTTGTTTACAAAAAGCGGAGAACGAGCGAGCAGGAACGGTGGAACTTTTGTGAGTTTAATGATCGTTAAAATTGTGTACTTTGAAGATCTTTATTGCATGATACTTCACAGAATGATCAATTTTTAATATTTTTAACCTAACTTAAAGATAAATGTTAAGATATACATTTCCATGTTGTTTTATTCTCTGTTGTTTGTTAGTAGTAGTACTGCTGGGCGCTGGGGAGCCGTACTGCTGTCTGTGAGTGTGGTCCTGGAGCACTCCCAAATTAACCACCACCACCGGGGCAGGTATGACTGTCACAGGATGGATATATCAAGGAGAAAACTTTTTTTGCAAACACATATATGAAGTATATAAAATAAACAGGTTATATTTATTAAATCCACATTTTAACTGAGCATTTGCAAACACCACAAGTTGACCTGTAGAGGACAGATGGCAACAATAGCCTAGTCTAGTCTTCAAAATCTTTCTTAATTTATAGTGGTTGATTCAAAGATTTTGCATTTTTTAAATTTTATTTTTGTACCCAGCCCAGATTATTTCTTGTGAAGGAGGTGCATGCTGGTGCAAAAAATGTCTGTTGACAAGAGCTTAGATGACAAGAAAAAAAGAAAACGTTGGAAGAAATTGTTATCTGACATACATGAGCAACTAAAATTCTACTTCAGTGATGCTAATTTGAGGAAAGACCGTTTTTTGAAACAAAAAACTGAATCTAACAAAGATGGATGTAAGATCGCATTTTGTTGATCACTTTGATCATTTTGCTTTAAATATCAAGGACATGCAACTTCTCACACTCCATTAACCTAGACACATGCCACATTAATCTAATATAGGCCTACTTTAAATTTTAAAAATCAAGTTCTTTAGTATAATGTTGAAAAAAAAAGATTAACTATTATTCCATTTATTATTTAAACATTTAAACTTGCATATCCTTACTTTTTTTGCCAGATTGTAAGGTTTGTTTTTTTCAGAAAATAATTTTTTTATCTCTTGAGTTTTTGATACTTTTACTTGAGCAAGTAATTGTATTTAAGTGTTTAAGGCTTATATTGATTTCTTGGGTGGTGGTATGTCTTTAAACTACTTAATGTGGCTTCTTCATAAAATCTAAACATACCGTCGTCGTTCAATAAACAACACAGTAAGAAACTGCTACCACAAAACACAGCATATTAACATTTACTTTATGAAAGTAGCTAGATTTTTGTTAGAACAGTAAATTGTTATTCTATGTTTCATTGATACTACCTAAATATATTGTTAAAAGTTTGTTTCCTGGATTTCGCTAGATGTGGCTATATCAGTATTGTTGTCTTTCAACAAGCTGAAGGAATTGACTACCGATGCTGAGATGGTTGCTAGAGCTGTCAAGAAATCAACTTTCCTCCAGGTTAGCCATAGCTTTACCCCATTTACATATTGTATGGGACCAATCAAGAGGTTGATGTTTTACCTAATATTTCTGCAAATGAGCCAACAATATGCAAAAGTACAGCCACAGTCTGAAAACTTACTAGGTTATCAAACATACACATACACCACAGTGACCTCACTAATGGAACGAATTAGAGACGCAGTATTCTTACAAGCCTTGATTTCTTCCTTCTTGGCCACCTGGTTCTTTATGCAAATATATTCATGCTTTCCAAACATAGGGCATAAAAAGGATACACTCACGACCTAGCAGATACCAAAACTTAAATGCATACCAGCGCATCAATGCTTTGACATCAAGACCAGTATTCTTTTTACCAAGAACAATAATTAATTGTAATGATCTATCCCACCCTCTGGCTTCCCTTCTAACCCTTGAGCAATTTAAATCTGCAATTCAACCTTATTACTCAACAAGTAATTTCGAGCAAATGCACAACCTCTCCACATGGCGTCATGAATCATTGATGATCCATTGCCGTGTTTAACAATGAAAATGAAGATCCGATAAAGTGCATTACATAATACTGTATTACATCTCATTTTTTTGGCCAACATAATTCTTGCAATTTATTAGCATATATGAAAAGTTTTTGACTATAATTATATTTTTTTTGTATCGCAGGTCAGTGAGGATAAAAAACATTTGCGAAGAATTAAACCCCTAATGCCTCCAAAGTATGATATTGATGATGTCACTGTTTATGTTGTAAGTTTTATTCTTTAATTTATCAAAAAATGATGTTCCTTTATAATAATATTTCATTGTATTTAATTGTATAACTATGTTCATTTTGTATCATTTTGAAGTCGTATATATGCAATTCTAAGGCCTTTAGTAATTGATCAACACAGTTTAATGTCTTTTTAAATAAATAAATCAATAATTTTTTTTTATACTTTCTGTATAATAATCATGATAAATATAACGATGTGTATATTACAGATCAGATTGGTTAATTTATATAGTTTAACTTTTTTTCTCATATCTTGTCTTTGACTTTCCTGAAGTAATCTTGTTTTGTGATTTGTCTGATACTGTATTTTTGGTTAATCAGTATTTAAATTTTTGATTCTGTGCATTTTATGTAGCTAATAAATAATGTACATAAATATTGCACTTGAAAAATGCTAACGTTATTATGCCACTGAACATTGTATTCTGCCTTAGATATTGGTGCTCTATTAATAGCTGTTGATTGATTGATTCTTGTGAAATAAATGATGTATTTCACCTTCTAGGAGTGCTTGCCTAAAACAGTTGATCATAGCTGGTTGCAGAAAGTGTTTGGAAGCTGCGGAAAGGTGACATATGTAAGTATCCCTAGGTACAAGAGCACCGGTGACATCAAGGGATTTGCTTTTATCGAGTTTGAAAAACCAGAAGAAGCAAGGAAAGCCTGTAAAGTAAGTGTGATTTGATTTGATTTATGCTAATTTTTAAATTTTTAAATTAAGGAATTGAGCTATAAAAGACATAGGAAATGTATGGTACTACATTTAATGTACAGAATTTGATTCTTTTGCTTGCTTTAGAAACCATACAAAATGAATAACGATAATGATATAACAAAAATTGCTTGTAAAGACATTATACTACACATCTGTATATAGAATATACAACAATCAGAAAAATACCAGGTGTCAAAGATGTAATGGCTAAAACATAAAAGAAGTACATAGACGGTGTTTTATGAGAGTAGGAACTGCAGATGGATAATGAAAAACAAATAAAAGCATATTAAGGAATAGTAAATGGAGAAGAGGTAACAAAAGCAGAGTGGAGAGATTACCTGAATGAGTGAAGAAAAAAATGGGTATGCCCATCCAACAATAAACTGATAACTTAACTTGTTTTCTTTTAAGGCTTTGAATCATCCACCACCAAATGTGATGGATAAACCAGGGAAATTCCCAAAGATGAGAAAAGGCAAGGCAATCAGCCTAGATTCGAACCCAGAACCATATCAAGTACAAAGACAACGACAGCTGATGGAAATGGAACAAAGATTGATAAAAGAAGAAAGGCTTGAGAACAAAAAATATGAAAATGAGGCTGACTCTGAAAACAAAGAGCCAGAGAGCGAAAAAAAGAGTAAGAGAAAGAGAAGCCATGATGAGGACAAGAGTGGAGAGAATGTTGCAGAGGCAAAGCAGAAAAAGAAATGCAAGAAACAAAAATCAGAAAAAGTTGACAAGAAACTGGGGGAAGTCAAAGATGAAAGAGAAGAAGAAAGAAATGAGGATTTGGATGAAAAAGATGGGAAGACTTTAAAAAAGCAGAAGGCAAAGAAAAGGAAATTGGAGGATGAAGAGAAATCAATTAATCAAAAGAGAAAAAAGAGTCATGATTCAGATAAAGAGGTAGTGAATGATGAAGGAAAAGATGATGATGAAAAGTTAAAAAGGAAAAGGAAGAGGAAGAAAAATCCACACAAGATGAAGGATGGGTGTCAATATCAGCTAAGAGTTATTCCGAAGTAAGTAGAATATTGTAGTTTTTTTACCCAAGGGTCATTTACCGTTAAATTTTGGAATAAGTGCTTCTATTAAATAAACACTCTTGAAATATGTGCCACACCAAATAATTTCAATCTTAATTTCAAATCTTTATTTATTCTGGAAATACTCTTTCAATATGTATAAGTACTGGTCTCCCAAGTGGTCCAAATTCAACAATATAATAATCAAGCAAAAAAAAAAAAAGTATGTTATATAAAATCAAGATAGGTGGTTAGTTAAATACTCTTCTTAAATATATTTAATGTAATGATTTCTTTTTTCCACTAAGCATTGTGACACTTAAAGAAATATTATACTGTACATTGAATATACATTACAACACCCAATCAAGTATAAACATTACCCAACATCCTTCATATTTTGTATCATTAAAACAAACTAGATACTTTTAGCCTATGTACAATACATAGTACCATGTTAACACTTCAGTAATTCAACCTCAAATAAGCACTTCTTATGAATAAATGTGGTACTAAAGGCTACCAAAATTAAATGTATGCCAACATTTGTTAATGTTTTGTTTTCCCTATAGGACAGAATGGTTGCAATTGAAGAAAGAATACATTAATCTGCAGAAACAGAGTAAAATGCAATTAAAGCACAACATCATGGAAATGGAACTGCAACAGAAGGTATGAAACCATTAAGCTGGGCACTTAACTGCGCCATACAGCAAAGCTAAGCTAACTCTGCTCCCTGCGAGTGCTAGGCGACGTGACGCGTCTCCTGATTGTCGGTGGCAGTCTGAATGGATCGTCATTAAAAACAATCTGTTGCACTGTCGTGGTGTTGCATTCATAGAATCGCTTCAGCCAACGACCGTCGGATGTAGTGAGTGCTGACTTAAGACAGCTTACTGTGTTGTTGATTATTAAAGAATGACACCTGTACTGTTATCTTTCAATTATGTGCGAGCATTTTATTTAATTTTTATCTCATACCTCTTTAACAATATTAAATGCTTTATAGAATTTAATTTTTGATCAAAACTGCTTATTTTAATTTCTTTAGACAGCAATTCGTGCATGTCTTCCTAAGAAAGAGCCTATTAGTGAGACCAAATCTAAGGAACCAGAGTTCACTCCAGGCACGGTTGTTCGTATAGTAAGCAAGGAGAGTATCCCATCAAGAAAAAAATTAAGGGTAAGTGAATAACCCCCGCAAACCCAGCCAATCCATCTATTTTTACGACAACAACCTGTTCATTTATCGAGCGAATGATACAAAAGTTTTGGAGATTATTATTATGTTCTCATTAAACCTCTGTTTACAAATTTTATGTGACAAACTTGTGTGATTTTCCCATATATAGACATGATAATAATAATTTAGAAATTTATACAGCACCTATTGGCAATGGATACAAGGTGCTTAGATATGTGGACTAGAAATTTGATCAATGACTTTATTCTCCCCTAAGGATCACTTCATGTCTGTGTAACCCAGCCAGCAACTCTCGTCGTCCACCACAGGGGCATATCATATTTTTTTGTCCTACAAAATTTGACACACTATCAAATTTTATGTGACAAATTTGTGTAATGTGCCCATGATAATGTCATATTACTGTACACCCAAAAATTGGCAAGTGACAGTTATTTGTCAAATAAATTTGAAATTGTCAACTACTACCCGTGGCCGCTACTGGATCCGCCCCTGTTCTTGATTAGTTATAGACCACCTATATTTAATCAGCTAACCCTTAAATCCCATTGCCAAGTTCAAGTTTAAAACTATTTTAACTTTTTTTCAAGGATTACTTAGAAACCATAGCACCAATTGCATACCTTGATCTTGAGGATGGTGATAGTAAAGGTTTTGTCAGAGTAAAGACAGCCCAAGGTGCAAGTGATGTTATTGATAGGCTCAAGGTTGGGAATGAAATGTCTGCTAAACTATTAACAGGTAAAATATTAATTCATTTTTTATTCAATATTAGGCACTGGTGGTGCCAGGATGAGCCTGAACAGGGGAGGGGAGATGTCCCCAACAAGAGTGGGTGTGCTCATTAATCCCTTGAAGGAGGACCAGGTGGTAAAGTCCCCAAAAGCTAGTATTTTGGGATTTGAAAGTCCTATTTCATCAATTTTAGAATCTAACAATCTGTACATTTTTTTTTCTCCCTGACAGGGTGGGTGAGTTCCCCAACAGGGGTCCTGACCATGCCACCATCCCCCTCTCCTGGTACCACCCCTGATATTAGAAGTGAAGCTTTAGTGTGGTGGTATTAGGATACTGTAAAACATTGAATTTAAGCCCCCCCCCCCTCTTTAGTTTGCAAAATTAGTCTTGAAAAAAAACCCATCTCAAAATGAAGCCCATGGGCTTCTTTTGAAGATAGCATAGGCTTCTATTTTCAAGATAGTACAGTACACACACTGTGCATGAATTTCAAAAAAACAAAATAAATTAAAAACAAGCTTGGTTTATACAGTAATTTAGGTGATGTAATGCCAGTTAAATCCATCCATGACACAGATTGATGTTACAGTTTTCTTATTTATAGTTTTATGAAATAAATTTACAAAATTTACAGCATTCATTTTGAAAGGAAGCTCCCCTCTTTACTTTGCTAAAGGAGCCTGGAAAAGAAGCCCATCCAAAGTTCACAATAAAAAGAAGCCCAGGGCTTCAATTCGAGGTTTTACGGTATGCATTCAGATGGCTAAGCTGTCTGACACAGGGGCATTTTCAGATGGTGGTGCCCAGACCCATGCTGATTCTGCCACCACTCTGAGCCTGAATTTTTCTGATTTTGTTTTTATGAATCTTACTGTTTGATTTATGTTGTTTGTGCTTGTAATGATATTTTATATTTTCCTGCAAAAGTTTACTTCCTGGACCATTGCTTCTGGATTTTTGCAGCTGATGTTTTTCTTTTGTTATGATAATTAAGTAATTTTTATAGTACTTTTGTTTTATTTGAAAGGTGAGGAGGAGAAACAATATTGGGAGAAATTAAAAGCAGACAGAATAGCTAGACTGACAAGCAAGACAAAAGGCAAGAAGAAACGAGGTGCTGATAGGGTAAGCTTAAGCTTAGTTTAGTGTTGATTGGTTAATAGCAAACATGCCACCCGCTTTTTCTTTTATTACGCCTGCCATTGCCTTGAAATCTCCAAAAATAAGATATGTACAGTATATTCCTAATTATATAAAATTAAAGCATTTAACCATCCCATTACTACAATTTTTACATTCAACAATAAAATATATTTTTATTTTCCTAGTCCATATATGGATACTTTTGGCAAAACCATTTTCTAAATAAAAAAAAGAAATTATTTTTATTATTTTTCCGCCCTCTTCTGACAATTAAAAAAAAGTTCACAAATCAAGGTATAAAAAAGTATTGCCTTGTAGTGTTCTGTGATCTTATCTGCTGTGGATACTGTAAGTCCATTTATATCCAGTTTCTCCAGAGTTAGTACGTAGTTCTTTCTCCCTCTGTTTTCGTTTTTTTTTAAGGTTGCATTCAGCATGTTAAAATCTGAATATCCTGAGCTTTCCATCTATGATTGGTTGTGACAAAGTGTACAACTTCATGAACTGTACTACTGTATATACAGTATATAGTTTTAATGACAGAATGTAGGACTGCTGAAATAAACTGTTCACAATATTCTTTTTGCAGCTAATGGATAAAGCGGAAAGGGTGTTGACTGTTGCATCCCGTTCACACATCAAGTTTGAAGACTAGAATGGCGCCCTCTGTCTCTCATGATTGAACCTGATCAAACTGTCATAAATTGCCCACAATACAGTAGAATGTTTTTTATGTATACTGTATCTCAATCCAGCATGTTTTTGTTTTTTTTAATATATATATTTTTGATTTTGTATCAACAATGGTTGAGGTTGCTGTAGTAATGTACATTACTTCATAAGTACATGATAATTTTAATAAATTCTCTGGTTTTATTTAAATGGTTTTTCTGAATAGTGTACTGTACTTTGTATCCATGAAAACTGAATTGTTTTAATCGATTTAAATGACCAATTGTGTGTTATGTGAGGTCTCACCACAAAATTGAATTTTGTGGTTAAACAATCCATAGATCACAATATAAGCTTTAATTTGTTTTTTGAAAGTCCTCCCTAGGATAAGTAGATCCAGAGATGTGAGCATTTAAATTTTCGGTGTATGAGAACCACGTTTTCAGAAAGTAGGCCTCAAAGATAAACTATCACGTACAAACAATGCAAAAACGTATAATAATAAAATACAAGTATCGAAGTTGGACTTTGACCTACAGTACGATTTTACCAATGATGCATCTCATTTTGTGGTGAAATGTTGCATATACTGTATCTTTGATACCAGATTCACACAACAAAATGAAAACGGAATCCTACCAAGTTATCGGACATGGATGTTGCATGTGCTTATTGCATGCTATGCTTTCACCATCACACATCAATCAGATGTAATACAGTACTATGAAAGGACAAGAACACATCTGCAATAAACAAACTGAACATTTTGGTACAAGCTGTATATTTAATCTCATCAAATGTAATTACAGTACATAAATCAGTACTTCTTATTGTTCTACCTTCCTTTACACAAATTTAGACATGCACCACCGTTTTATATATAACTGTATAGTGCTTATTGTATGCAACTACCAAAGTCAAATTATAGTGCAATGTTCTTGAAAACGTAATGCAAACCTCTTTATGCTTCAGTTTTGATCCAAAATATTTTTTCAACAGCTTTATAGCTGTATTTTATGCAAAATATATTCAACTTACAATGAACTGGCTTTAACAACAGTACATGTACAAACAGTTAATGGTCTAGAATATATTTAGTAAAGGTAGATTAAATTAATTTATTTAAGATGTTTATTCTTTTCCACAGACAGTTTATAGAAATTACATAGTTGTATAAAAAAAATATAACTAGACCTAATACCACACAACTAAGTTCAAAGACACCTAAAAATAATAGTTTTGCTACCGTACTACTTGTTCTTGGTGTAGATTTACTGCACAAATTGTTAACAAATCTCAATTGTTTATGTTATTTGCATTGCTGAGCAAATAGATCGACTCCCTTCATTATGAATTGAGGCATATTGTACATTAGAAAATACATTAGCAACTAGATTTGACCTCATGACATAGTCCATCAATTCAAATGTGTTCCTGAAACCATTCTTTTATACAAGTTAACTGTTTCAACAAAGATATACATGATAGTCTTCTTCTTTATGAATCCCTGATTTGAGATCTCCTTTCATATTAGTTTAGTTAAAAATGTTCAACAAAGGTTAATTAATCTTTGTATATTACATTGCCATAAATATAGAATAACAAATTGTCATTTTTCATCAGTTATTAGTCTCTTCAGTCCTGTTGTTTTATCACCAAATTAATCACCGGTGACTATGACTTGATCTGCAAGTCACTTAAGTAGGCATGTTTCAAGGCTGCCTTAGCTGAAATTCTTTTGGCTGGGTTGTAGATTAGCATTTTCTGAAACAAAAATCAAAATGTTTAAATAGTATACAAAGCAACCGAAAAATATAAAATTGTGATTATTATGGTACGCCAGATACATAAGTTATACTGTATTCATGTTGTACCTCTTCCTTAATATTAACTGGCAAGAGCAACAATTTTCTCTGTGATGTAATCATCATTTTAAATAATTTTCAAAAACCTACAAGATTACTTCGTCGCTCACATCACGAACTAACACAATCAAAGTATACGCGCTGTTGTTGTTAAGGACTTTCAAATGTATTAATATACAGGTCTCCCTCCAATGAAAGACCACTTTTGGGACCTTTAGCAACTTGGGTCTCTAATTAAAATAATAGATAAAAGACATTTGTTAATTTGGGACCATAAAAATGTGGTCTTTAATTGGAGGGAGGCCTGTATACTTAAAAAAAAAATTCTCACCTCTAGTAGGTCTAAACCAGGGTTATCCAAATGTTTGCTGAGAGTGGACTTCAGATTGTTGGTCTTCCAATCAGGGAAGTTCTTTTTGTAGTCTGGTAGAGATGTTACCCCCGCCCATGTATCTTCCTTCGGTGTTCCAAGGGTACGGAAGATACGGAATATCTGATCGATTTCAGAGTCACCGTGGAAGAGAGGACGTTTTGTGGCCATTTCAGCAAAGATACAGCCAATACTCCAGACATCAACAGGTGTGGAATACCTGGCAGAACCCAGTAGGACTTCAGGTGCTCTGTACCATAAAGTGACCACCTGTAAAATGGTTAAAAGACAACTCGAATGAATATTATAAAACATAATACAAATGTGATACATACAAGATTATTGTATAATAAGTTAGATTTTCCTCTTAAAAACATTATGCAACATCAAAAAATAATATTTTCATAAAAATTTTGCCACACAAGTGTAGCTGATAAAAAATACAGGAATATGACATACAAGACCAGTACAAAGTCAGGATTAGAAAAGACTGTTTTATACCTTAACAACAAATGGTAAAAAAAAAAAATTTCGTTCAGAGTAATGGTTGTACCAAAACATCTAGGCAGCTGAGAAAATGAAAATATACATTTATTAAAAGGGAAAAAAAAGTGTGTATGCTATGAGCTAAAGCAGTAGTAACTAACCTCATGGGTGTATACTCTCACTGGAATACCAAATGCTCGTGCCAAGCCAAAATCTGCAAGTTTGATTGTCCCTTTGTTGTCAATTAACAGATTCTGGGGTTTTAAGTCTCGGTGAAGTATCCGTCTTGAGTGACAGAACACTATACCTTCCAAGATTTGAAGTAAATAACTCTATAAAAAAAAAGTATTCAAATAATTGTTTAGTGAATCTATAAACTTTGTATAATAAGAAGAAATTCATAAAGGACCTTTCGCTGAGCCCCACCCCTTGGACATTATTGTTATAATCCCACAAAACGACAGCTTGTTAAAACATACACAAACCTGATTGATCTGTGCTTCATGCATATATTTCTGGCTCTGTTCTGATTGGTCATTTGTTAAGTTTTATTGACAATCTGGAAAGGTCTATTATTACAGTAATAGTAAAGTGAAAGTATTTATGAAAAGAGCAAATGATTTTGAGGATATACTCCTTGCATTTTAGGCAGTTGTGGTCACTTACCCTCACTAGATCTGGCTCCATTAGGGATCCTTTGAGACTATCCATGTATTTCTTTAGGTCCATAGTAAGAAACTCAAATACTAGGTATAATTTGCACTCTTGCATTAAGATATCTTGTAATCTAAAGAGGAAAGTAATGATATACTGCTGGTGCCGAAAAAAGACATGTTTGCACATACTTAGCTATTTAAATTTATTCATTTAAATTCATTCATTTAAATTCCTACTAAATCAAACAAGTTACAGATCAAGTGCAATTAACGGACAGCAGCTATGCAGCTGAGGCCCAATAACTTTTCCCATGGGCTAAGCTTATAACATTGAGAAGGTGTTTGGCCTCAGGTACATACCCTGCGGTTCATGGATCGCACTTGATTCCAAGTTACTATCCAACAAATATGACTTACGTTACTATGTTTGGATGGACTAATTCTTTTAGAAGGGAAATCTCTCTAATTGCTGTGCTTGGAACGCCTTCTTCCTCGCTTTCAAGTCGAATCTTCTTTAGGGCTACAATCATGCCGCTCTCCTTGTGTCTGCCTTTGTAAACTACTCCATATGTACCTAGAGGCAAAGTTACGATCACAAATGAAAAAATGCTGTCTAGGTTGAACTTAAGTATCTAAAAAAATGTTTGTATATTTATAGTAAGACAAGTTATTTCTTATTAACCTTCTCCAATTTTCTCGATCTTCAGGTACTTGTCCATATTAATTGATGTGGCTGCCTTCTCCTTCTACGTTGTGTACACGGTTCCTGAAATATGCATTATTGAAAAAATTGTATAATTTCTTTAATGAAATACTGTACTTCCTAGTAGTTATACAATTATAGAACCCCCTAAATTACTTGTTTTTTTATTAATTAATTGTTCTCTCCTTTATTTATTCTGCAGATAAAACCTATGTTTCATCATACCCAAGGACAAAGAAGTTATAGGTCTTATTGTTGAATAAAGAATGTGAAGGTCACAATCAACAAAACAATGTAATGGTGTATAGACTAGGCCTCTTCAAGTTTAAAATATTCAAAATATCATCCTTTCCTGTCGTAGCTTTTCGCCTAAATTGTGACAGATATAAAATAAAATGACAACATGGTTACAAGTACAATACAAAATTTCATTCACCTTCTTAATTCAAATATCATAGTATGAATACAAAAATGCAAATTGACAATTGATAGGCCTAGTACAGTAGTAATTTATAAAACTAAAAGTTGGTTACAAGCTGACTGACTATAAACATGACCAAACAACGTCTAGGCTAGCCCTCTAGAAATTAGAATAGGCCTAGCCTGCCCTAGCTAGAGCCTGAGGCCGAGGGTGCTCTGCATTCATCATCATGTCCACCCAAACACAAACCAAAAAAAACACGTTTGTGGAAATGCTTTTGAATAACCAATTTTATTAAATTTCAAGCTAAAATAATACATGTTCAGATTGGTATATAATAGAGTATGGCTCAGTAGTGCTGAATAACATATTATGTACAAAATATTAAGAAAAAGAAAGCAAGAAAAATTCAAATACAATTCAACTTTTTATACTTACCACACGTTCTGCTTTTTAAACTATGAATGAAAAAGGTAGCTTGAATGCGACTCATCCTCGCCGCCGCGTTTGAAGTAGCCAATCAACGGCCTTTTTATAAAAATCAAGAGCCAATTAAAATAGCCGTCATAAACGTCACACAGCGCCCGCTATTTTTTGACGGACTGTTGCGCCACCAACGAGCGATATACTTGAAGAAGTTGGGAGTATGGGACGCCAAATTTATTTGGATATGGCACGCACTGAGCGCTTTAAACTTAATACCTTTCATAATTATTAGCTATTGAAAGTAAATCATTTTTTGGTGGCCACTGACTAGACAATCTAGTTCGCATCAATAATTCTTATGCTAGTTTAATTAAGATGTTTATGTATTTCATTTTAATAATAGTTGATAGAAATGTGTCGTCAACGCTTTGCTTAGAAACTTACTAATTTAATAAACCTATAAAACTTTTATTTTTTACTATTTTAATGGTTCCATTGCCGTCTTCTTTTAAAACACATAATACTGCACTTTGTTAACCTACTAACATGATCATTACAAGATCAGAAAAATATGGGGTTTTTAATAAGTGCATACGAACTGATTTATGTAATTATTACTCTTTATTATGTGCGTTTCTTTAGCTTGTTTTTGTTTTTTTGTTTTGTATTGTAACCATAGAATAGAGATATGTTTAATAGTTCTATGATTGCAATGTAATGTGGTGTAAGGCCATAGGCGAGAGGACTTGACTATAGAGGGCGATCCTCTTATTATGATTTGTATCTGGTTAAAAAGATAGTTCGGCAGGTGATCGAGGGCAGAAAAAATCGTATAAACTTTGAAGTTCTGAACCTCCCTACCAAAGTCCTTAGACTGAACATCTTCAAGATATACTGACGCCCTGAATTCCATGTTATTTTTAGGACCTGCGTAAGTAATGCTTCATTAATCCTACCTAGGCTCTAACCCTAGCTTGGATCTAGGCCTAGCCTGGTCCAGACTGACTGAGGCCTCCCACACCCAGGTTTCCTATGCCTAGGCCTAGCTAGGACTACCGTTTGCTTTCTACAACCAAATCAGGCTGATGTCAGAGACAAGATATCTCGAACATACCATTCTGCATTAGGTCAGTCCACATTAGACTCTGAATGATTTCTAAAGAACCTTGCATATTCCTGATGTGTATGGAATTGAATTTGCATGCATAATTTATAAAAAAAAATAATATATTATTGATAGTAGTAGGCTTAGCTAGCCTAGATACTTATATTTAAGTGTGCTATTTATAAGTTAAGATAGTAGGCCTATAGCCTATAATACATTTGATCATCTGATGATGACATAATTAATGTCAAAATATTGAACCCCGACACAATGGCGTGCATTTCGATACTTGGAGTATGTAAATACTATATTACCTGATCTTTTGCTATTTATTAGTCTTGTTCTTTTGTAATAGAATATTTATTGCATTTTTTTTGGCAAGATTTTATATTATTGTGATTGTTTATTATTGATGTTTATTGTTATTCTTACTTATATTTTTATATAGGTCTACGTCCATTTAACATTTTAAGTTATAAATCTTTAATTACATTCTCATCATTTAAATAGTGTTTTACACTGTTAGAAGCAATACATACCAACTTGTCGTGGATAGTTTACTTGTAATCATCAAGTAATATTTTTAGGGCTTCATTGAAAAGCTTGTTTTTATGTTTTTCATCTCACTTTTTCTTACTTCTTACTAGTCTGTTTATCTTGCTTTGCATTTTGTTGTATGAATTTGAATGAATTTAAAATGTTTGAACAGACAATCAGACAGACAAATTATCTGATAAGTCTGTGTATTCCTCAGGCTTAAAATATTAATATCATGTTTGATTATTTACATAGCTTGCTCTTGACTTTGATATGAGCTGATGCCTTACCACCAACTGTTACTGATTGTAACATATTGAATTGAACCAATCAGAATGGGGAACCAACTGACTGGTGTAGCACCCTCACAGATCTTGCCTGTTGAGCATTATCTGACAGATGTGTCGGACTACACATTTGATATTAGTCTCGGAAGTACCAGGTTTTTTAAAGTGGCAAGGGCACGGTACAAGTAAGCTAACAATTCGTTTTTTTAAGATTTTAAGGTATGAGAGTGCAATTTCCGGCCACCTAGAGGTCCATATTCTCAAAATTTTCGCACCTCAGCCCCAACCATGATTGGCTGAGGTCGTGTGAACTCTCACAGTAGGTCAACTAATCTAACCATGCTAAAATAACTAACCGAAGCAGACTAACACAGAGGAACCAACACTATCGCATCATTCACCTGCATGAAAACATCAAAATATTAAAACAATAGTCGTGACACAAAAATACAAATTACAAAAACATTACAAACAACAACACGATATATACAGTTTAGTATGATATTTGGTTAATTTGGGCCAACCAGCACTGCTACAGTAATTCAGTTCACTTTAGTTGACTGTAGTCTCCCCATTTTTGTGTTGGACCTAATAAATAATGAATGAATAAATGAATGAATGATTTAAGCCTCTAAAAATTAGTATTATATGTAATAATATTTCACCAATTTAGTTCCAAATATATTTGCTCTGTATAAAGTAGAAAAATTATACTTAATTATTTTTCCAGGGAGGGTTTGACTGTGGTGAAAGTATTTGTGATTCACGATCCATCTCTACGTTTGCGCCCTTACAAAGAATATGTAGAGGGTATTAGTCAACAACTTCAAGATGCATCCAATTGCTTACCATATGAACGAACTACGGTAATTACAACCTTATAATTTCTCTGCTGCTTTTGTAAATTTTCTATTGTAATTTTGATGTGTTTAATTATATAAAAGATAGATAGTATTAATTAGATGTATCCTGAGATTTTTCTCTTGACCTTTCTCTCCCTCCTACCCCTTGCCCCCATTTTGATTGCCATTTCTTGGTAAAATATATTCCAGAATGTAGCTATTTCAAAACCATAAATTTGCATCATCATGTCTTGATTAAAAACAGATATGCAATCTTATGTACTTTGAATTGTTTTAAAATTATATAATGTTATATAATTACTCATTTAGTACACAGCATACTTTTTCATTGAATCAATATTACTGAATTCAAAAATGTTATTCCAGAACTTGTTAATAATTTTAAGTTTTTTTATATATTTTTCTATAGCTATCCGATAAAGCAGCTCTGCTTTTCCGTCAATATGTGCGTAACAATCTCTATGATAGAATCAGTACTCGACCATTTTTGAATAGCGTGGAAAAAAAGTGGATAGTTTTTCAATTGCTCTGTGCCGTCAATCAAGCACATAGAATTCAGGTAAAAAAATAATAAATGGCTACACTCAATAACTTTCCACATCATACTGTTCAAATTTAATATTTAAACATCTCTTGAGTGTGTTCAGCGGGAGAAATCTGTGTTAAATTTCAGTGAAGATATTTTGGAAGGCTTATTTACGTTTTATTCATAAGCTTGTTAAGCAGTCCAACATACCATGTATCGATCGAGAACAAACTGTTTATCAATTGTTAGTAAACTTAAATGCTGGTCCTGATTAGGGGATGGAATATGTAGGTGAGGAAGTATCATCCAATTTCTCATTTCTTTATGTGTATTATTTTATACCAGCCTGGGTAGAGCTCAGAGAAATACACAATGCAAGCACTGAGAAATAAGATGTGATAATGCAACAGAATTAATGCAAGCTATTTACAATTTACTACAAGGCTATTATTAAGTAATACTAGTTCACTAGGTTTAACAATATAACATTTGGTTTTGTTCTGTGTTGATACAACTTTTTCACTTTTATGTTAGGTGTACCATGGCGACATCAAAAGTGAAAATGTGATGGTAACCGGATGGAATTGGATTCTTTTGACAGACTTTGCAGGATTTAAGCCAACGTACATACCTGACGTAAGTATCAAAGATTCTGTCTGATAAATACTGATATATAATAATAAATAAATTAAGTGAGTAAATGTACAACTTGGCAGTTCTGTCTGGTAAATACTGATACATAATAATAAATTAAATGAGTAAATATATAGGACTTGGCAGTTCTGTCTGATAAATACTGACATATAATAATAAATAGGTGAGTAAATAAACGACTAGGCACATGAAATGGGTCGTTTTTAACGATAATCCGCTCAGTCTGTCTTTCGACAATCAGGAGACACCATTGCGTCCTCAAGCGCTCTCAGATGGAGAAGATGTGTACGATGCAGTGTGTGCTGGCTTAAAACAGTAAAACATTGTCAGTCTTTTTCAATAAGTTGTAATTTTTTTCTTGTATACAGGATAACCCCGCTGATTTTTCATTTTTCTTTGACACATCACGTCGTCGCACCTGCTACATTGCCCCAGAACGATTTGTTGATGCAAGTCTGCGACAAGTGGATCCTCAGGGTGGGGAGAATCTAGATGGGCTTCAGGAGGTCACAGATATGCAAAAGGGGGAACTGACACCTGCCATGGACATTTTCTCAGCAGGGTAAAAGCTAAATAATCATGCAATATTGAATTATGAAATTATTATATTTATAGGTTATTATTATTATTAAATATTATTTAACGATATATTATCTGTAGTTTTGGTTTTGTTATGTTGATATATTTTCTTCTTTCATTAGATGTGTGATTGCTGAACTATTTACTGAAGGTCATGCCCCCTTTGACCTCTCCCAGTTGTTGGCCTATAGGAGCGGCCATTATAGCCCAGATGCTGTACTAGACAGAATTGAAGATCCACACATAAAGGTACAATAAGTAATCAGCGGATAAATGGTGATAATGATGATGGTAATGATAGTGATAATGATGATGATTATGGTGATGATGATGGTAATGATAGTGATAAAGATGTTGATGATAGTAATGGTGATGACAATGGTAATGATAGTGATGATGATGATAATGGTGATGATGATGGTAATAATAGTGATGATGATGATGATTATGGTGATAATGATGGTAATGATAGCGATAAAGATGATGATGATGGTAATGGTGATGACAATGGTAATGAAAGTGATGATGATGATAATGGTGGTGATGATGGTAATGATAGTGATGATGATGATGATTATGGTGATGATGATGATGATGGTAATGATAGTGGTAAAGATGATGATGATGATGATGATGATGGTAATGGTGATGACAATGGTAATGATAGTGATGATGTTGATAATGGTGATGATGATGGTAATGATAGTGATGATGATTATGGTGATGATGGTAATGATAGTGATAAAGATGATGATGATGGTAATGGTGATGACAATGGTAATGATAGTGATGATGATGATAATGGTGATGATGATGGGAATGATAGTGATGAAGATGATGATGATGGTTATGATTGATGGGGATAATAATGGTGATATGGATATGATAATGAAGAAAATGGTTGATGATAATGATTGTGATTGATATGATAATATGATGATGATAAAAGTATGATGGTAATAAAGTTTATAATGGATATGGTAATGAAGACAGTGGTCATGCCGATAATGAAAGTGATAATATTTCATAAATTATGTAATGATGAAGGAGTGATGCTTAAGTGTAGTTATTGTTGTATTATATAAACTATAATTATATTTACTTTAGGGGTTAGTTAAGCACATGCTTCAGATGGACCCCAGTGCTCGTTATTCGGCGGAGGAGTATCTTATCAAATGGCGTGATGTGGTTTTTCCAGAATATTTCTACAGTTATTTGAAAATTTATCTTGGTGATTATGCAGCCATTCCCATCATGCCCTCAGATGAGAAAATTAGGAAGTAGGTGTCAAATCGTTAATTTTTCTGCTTTTCCACAATTCATTTGTGTATTTTGGTGGGTAGTTTACATTCTCAAATGCTCAAGATCCTTAAATTTTACGTGTTTAAATTTTAATGAACCAAAAAACCAAAGGGCATACTACTATTATAGTAATTTTTTTGGACACAGAAATGATATTCATAATTTAATTTTTCTTTGGTCTTCCACCTTGGTTTCAACATGCTTTTCATGTTTTATTTTAGGTTAAACTCAGATATGCCATTGATTATTGAAAAATTATGCCCATCTGTACCAGATAACCAGAATGAGGAGAGTAAGAAAGGCCTCGTCATAGTCCTATCACTACTTACCTCCTGCCTACGAACATTGAAGGTAAACAGCATATCAACTGTTAACACTAAGAAGAGTAACTTTTTGCTTATTTACACTTTTTACATCAATAACTTTAAATCTGTTATCAACCATTTAACACTTATTTACACTGAATGATTTATCTTTTAAAATGTTCATCTGATTTAATGTTTAACTTGTATAATGTGCTCCATTTCAGATTTACTGCCTTTGCACTTTGCTTTTAATAAGGATACAGTACCTATATA